TTGCTGAAATAAGGCAAGCAGGCAGACAATATTAAAAAAAAAAAGAAGGAAAAGGAAACTGACTTTTATATAACTCAAATATTTTGTAGACTACAAGTTTCAGAATTTATAACCAAAGGTTAGTTTGTCAATGAGGCATAGACATCTTCATAGAATAATATTGGTTTGACAAAAAAATATATATATATTTTACCAGTATTTGGGAAGTGCTTACTTGGTGCTCTGTCTCAGTTTTAGACAACTCCTCAATCTTCTTTTCCAATCTGTCTATATCCATGATGTTCTTTATATTCTAATGTAAAAGACAGTATTCTTGGATTTAGCACCAAGAAAAATAAAAGATGATGACAATCAAATTCTCTTTTAGGAGGTGTTATTTCATCACTCTCAGTACTGCCTTTTTATATTCCATTCAACCTCAGCCACCACTCCCACGGTCATAAGTTCAAACTTGTTATTACCGGTCACTGCAGCCCCCCCATTACCCTAACTGCAAGCATCCCACTCTTCAACAACCACCTCTTGCCTTTCCAGATTACTTCCTTTTTATCAACAAACCTTCAATCCCTCCTGGAAACTGCAATCCATTGATCCTACCACCTTTTCATTATCCTTCAACCTTCCCATGAACTCAGGCCCCTCTTTACTTAGCTTCAGTTCTTCCATGGACAATCATTATAATCATTCCCTTCCAAATGCCTCAATTCCCTGCCTAACTCCTGCTTATTAGCATTTACTTAAATTAACTTACCGCCCACTCTACGCCAGGACCCTTTCAGATGAACGTGCTTAAAGAAAGCATGAACAGACAGGTCACACGTTTAATTCATGACCTTTATACTCAGTGTTTACTGGTGATCATATCATATAATCCTGGTATATTTATACTGCCTTTTACCTAAATCAGGGGATGTGGTAAACTATGCCCACCCCCCTCACTCCACCCTAAAGGTCAAATCTAGCTGACAACTTGTTTTTGTAAATAAGGCTTTATCAGAGCAAACTGTGCCCATTTGGGTACATACTGGTTATGACTGCTTTCACAATACAAACGCAGAGGTAAGTAGTTGACACAAAGGCAATTTTTGTGGCTAGCAAAGCCTGAAAATATTTATAATCAGGACTTTTACAAAAAGTTTTCCAACCCCTAGCCCATTTCATTCCTTCTCTGTCCTCAAATTTCCAATACCTCCTTTAACATCCACACTCTTAGCTGACGATTTTGCTTTGTATTTCACTGAGACACTAGAAACAACGAGAAGAAAATGTCCTTCTTACCTGAAAGCATAAGAAATATCTTTGGATATATTACAAAGCATTTCCTGATCCAAACACTTCTGTCCATCTCTACTGCAACTGCTCAGTCCAAGCCCCCCTCAGCTTTTGACTGGATAATTTCAAGGGCCTCCTAATGGATATTCCTGTTTTTTCTCTTGCCCTGCTACAATGAATTCTAAACCTAGCAGCCAGAGTTGTCTTGTTAAAACAGAATTAGATCATACTACTCCTTTGCTCGAAACCCTTCAGTGGCTCCTGTCTCACCCAAGTGTTCTTTTTTTTTAAAAAAAAAAAAAAAAAAAAAAAACAGAGTCCTTGCAATGCCTATGTAAGCCCCTGGCGTCTGGCCCCGCCAGCTCTTGGCCTGCATCTCTGGCTACTTGTTCACTTTGCACCAGACTCTGGCCTCATTGTCCCTCCAAAATAGCAGGCAGGCTGCAGCCTCACGAGTTTGAGCTTACTATTTCTTCTGCCTGGAAGGCTCTTTCACAGATAAACTTCCTTTTCCAGCTTTGAATCAAAGGACTAGCTTTATAAGGCTGCTTTTCCTAATCTCCCTAGTTTAAATTGCACTCCTCTCTGCCTCAATTCTGCGTTCTGCTTTTCTTTTCTCCATAGCTCTCATTACCATCTAACATACTAGTTCCACACGAGCTATTCTGCTAAGCTCATATATTCAGCACTTAGATTAGCTCTGAGGTCTTCCAATGAGTATGTGTTGAAAGAACAAAATGAATGAATGAATAAAAGTGATTCACTACCCAAACCATTGTGATGTTACTCTTCACAATGCATCAGATTTTTCCCTCCCAAAGGAATCTTAGCTAGTTGCAACACTTATATGCATTTTTCTAATGTAAGTCAATAATTGCAATGCTATTGCATGATGAAGAGCTTTAAATCTTCCTTTATCTCAATTCTGAAATGGTTTGATACAATCCTTTGATGCTTGTCGGTCATTTAAATAAGAGGAGAAAAATATTTTACATTAGAAGTTTAATTTTAAAGCACTGGTTTCACAAAAGCCTGGCCTTGAGGCTATAACAGACCTGAATCTAATGTAGGCTTTCTTTCCAATCTTTAATTGTTCCTTTCCAATCCACTATAAAAATTTAAAATACCCACTTGGCCCACATTTTGATAACTCTCTAGACTGTGCAGCACAGCTTCATAAATACTTCTGATAGCCTTATATAAAAGCAAAATTTAAAAACTGGCATGCTACTTGATATTAAAATGGTATCTATTATACAAGATAGAATTTTCCCTGCAAAACAGTAACTTACTAGTAGCTTGTTCTGTTCTTTCAATGCTTCAATTTTGTTGCTTTAAAAAAATTATAGTCTTTTTCTTTGAGATTATACTATTTCCTAATATTTATAAGGTACATTGTAGTTTACCAAACAGCTTCACATGAATTATCTTAGTTAATCTCAAAAATAACTCCATGGAATAGATACTGTTAGCCCAGAAAAGATAAATGGTTTTTCCAAGGTCATTTTTTCAGTGAATTTAAGATCTGCATCTTATACTCAAGATTTTGTCACTCTGTTCAATGGAATTATAATGGAAAATTATTAGATAACATCCATAGCTTCCTTTTTGATTTACGTATTTTTTTTAGATGGGTTCATTGTATTTCATCTTAAATTTGAATTTCTTAAATCCCATTTCTTCCAAGAATAATTGCAAAAGCACTAGTTCCTCTGTTCAGACATGAAAATCCCATCCACTCCTCCTCACTTGTAATCTGACAAATCAACCTGCTCTCTGGCCAAAGGAGCCTGACTATCCACATGATTTTTATTTAACACACAGCCATAACCCATGATGTGATGTGCATGTTTGTCTATGCCAGTGTTTAATGATTCTGACATACCTCTTCCTGCAGAATACGGATCTTAAGAATCAGAGCCCGGTTTTCTGTCTCCTAATTCATTGTGAGAAAAATAATTAAAACGTATTTAAGATGTTTATGAAAATACCACATATTTACCTCCAAGCTATTGACATTCTTTCTCTTTACCAACTTTAAATGCGGCATTCACTTACCACGAATGAGCCTACTCTGAAAATATTTTCAGTGTGGGGTTAAGCCTTGGCTTACAGGCTCTTGGGGATCTAAGTTAAGTCATTCTCCTCCTGGACTCAGTGTAACTATGGTTATTAGGGAGGAAAAGACAAAAACCAAAAAAGCAACAACCTGGCTTCTTTCCCTGCCGCTTCATTTATGACAGGTAGTTGCAAACTCAGCTATTTAAATAGCACCTTGAAATCACAGAGCTCTGGCTTTCTATTTGAAGCTGTGGATATTCTCAGATTCAATATCATCACAACATATGAGCATCAAAAACTGTTTTATAATTAACAGCCCCAAATTCAGAACCATCAGAAAAAAAATTAATATATTTCAGGACAGGATATTTGCCAAAATGTTAACAGTAAATTTCATGGGTAGGTTAAGAATTTTGTGAAACTTTTTATTTGTTAATATGCATTTCTTTATTCTTATAAAGTAAATAGGCATTACCTTTATAATATTAAAAATGAAAGAAAAAGATATCTCAAGCTCGGATTTCATTGACACAATAATAAACACCTTCTCCCCCTCCACGTACTTAAAATCAGAATACCCGAGTTCAATTCTGGCCCTACCATTTTTTTAAAAAATTGACAGATAAATAACATCATATGCTTTTATCATGTATAACATGATGTTCTGAAGTACATATGCACCATAAAAAGTTAATTTAGCTCTAGCATTTATTAGACACTTGACTTTGAACAATTAAAAACTGTCTCTGAAATTTATTGCTCTATTAAATGTTTTAACCTATAAAAATATAGCAACTTCTGTTTCTACCTTACAGATTTTCTGTTACTACCTATGAGATGAAGTAGTAACTAAATCGTTTGAAATTATAAAGCACTACAAAATGCAAATGATTAGGATTCTGTGTCTAGGACTCTGCACTTTACTTTTATTTATTTATTTATTTTTTGAGACCAAGTCTCACCGTCACCCATGGTGGAATGCAGTGGTACAATCTCGGCTCACTGCAGCCTCTGGCTCCTAGGTTCAAGCAATCCTCCCACCTCAGCCTCCCAAGTACCTGGGATTACAAGTGGGTGCCACCCCACCCAACTAATTGTTTTATTTTTAGTAGAGACGGGGTTTTACCATGTTGGCCAGGCTGGTCTCAAACTCCTGACCTCAAGTGACCCACCTACCTCAGCCTCCCAAAGTGCTGGGATTGCATACATGAGCCACTGTGCAGGCCAACAGTCTGCACTTTAATCAATAGCAACTTAACATTACCAATCCCTAAGAGGATAGAAAAGGACATTGAATGCTTTACATGTGCTAGCACATTTATCCCTCCCAGCCCTAGGGTAGGTAGTATGGCTATCTGCATTTTATATAGGAGGACCCAGGGGCTTAGAGTGATTATGTGGCAGGGCTAAAGTCACACAGCCTTTGGAGCCAGAACTTGAAAGCAGGTAGTCTGACTCCCAAGCATGGGGTCTTGATCAGTTCTCTCCATTGCCTTCAGTTAGAAGCTCTTCAGTGGTCCTAGATTGAGTCTTTCCTATAATGCATCCATGGAGACTTGCAGGGTCACAAAACACCTGGCATTCAATGGCCTAGTCTTCACATTTTACTACTACTGAGGCAAGAGCTAAGCTAAACAAAGCTGTTTTGCTTGTGGGAAGTCATAAGGGACTGGCACAGGCCTGGAACCAAGTCTCTCCATGATTTAGAGACTCCTGAAACAAATTAGTTGGAATGACTTTCAGCCACTCCTTACCACAGTTAACAATGCTAGAATACTGCTGGAATCTATCAGGATTTTGAAGATTATTACTAATGCTCTAGGCAACAGATGAACCTTCTCAATAAAAATGATCACTTCTCTGGCACCTGAATTAAAGTTTAGTCTAAATGACTCTTTTGCTCTGAAATTATTTAGCATAAGGAATGATTTATGGGGCTTCTCTGTAACCTGTAAGTACTGAGAGAACAGATTTTATTTTAACCTAAGAAAAAAGATTAAAGTGCTAGGTGCAATGGCTCATGCCTGTAATCCCAGCACTTTGGGAGTCCAAGGCCGGCAGATCACGAAGTCAAGAGATGGAGACCACCCTGGCCAACATGGTAAAACCCCATCTCTACTAAAAATACAAAAAAATTATCAGGGCATGATGGCGTGTGTCTGTAGTCCCAGCTACTTGGGAGGGTGAGGCAGGAGAATCGCTTGAACCTGGGAGGCAGAAGTTACAGTGAGCCAAGATCATGCCACTGCACTCCAGCCTGGCAACAGAGCAAGA